AAACCAAGCCCTCTCACTTACAAGTAAAGATGAATATCACTAGACTAGAGTACTAAGTGACAACACCACTAGACCTTTTTTTTTTTTTTTTTAAATACAATATTATATATACTAAGGGAAGGGGGTGGGCTAAGTCTCACAATGGACTAGTAATAATGTGGTTCATATTCGTCTTTGGCGAGAATCAAACCTAAAACCTCTTATTTACAAGTGAAGAGGAATACTACTAGACCGTAGTACTAAGTGACCACTAAACCTTCTTTTAGTTATAAAAAGTTCCATCCTAACTTGGACTAATTATATACAGTATTTTACAAGAGGAGAATTTCGCATTAAAAAGTCTAGATTTCTAATTTATCCTCCAAAATACCCCATTTACTAAGCTTTTTGTCAGGCTTGATTTTAAGGTAGTGTTATTCACACACTCTTATTAAGTTTTCTCCATTGATGTTCTTCAATTCATTTGATTCAACAGCAAAAAATCGAAAAAATGTGTGACAAGTAAAAATGAATATGTAACATCACCCTAATTTTATCGTTCCTGTCAGCACTTGGAAAGTCAGACTTAAAAACCAATTGGTCAGTCATTAAGGAAGGAGACAGCAGCAATTTGTGTGATTCCAAAGTGAAATCATGGTGTTTTCTTTGGCAAACCAAATAATTGAAAGTTCATTTCTCAAATAGTTCCTCTTGTTTGTTGGCATTTTCTGTAGGACCTGTGAAAAGGGATTGAGACGTAGCAGCCGGGCTTCCAAAATTTCGACAAGGATGTAAATCGAAGCTGTGCAATATATGTCATGTTTTGTGGCTGAAGATGAGTACTAAACATGTCACATCCCGGTCCGGACCCCCACCACATTTCGGACTCGACTCTGCCGTAGCATGATATTGTCCGTTTTGGGCCCCAACCATGCCCTCACGGTTTTGTTTCTGGGAACTCAGACGAGAAATTCCTAATGAGTCACCCATCATGAGATTGCTCTCTCGCGAACTTGCTTAACTTCGGAGTTCCGATGGAACCCGAAGCCAGTGAGCTCCCAAAATGCCTCGTGCTAGGTAGAGATGAGAATATACATATAAGGCTTACATGATCCACTATTCTAGACGATGTGGGATGTTACAAAACATTTCCACTATTCTAGACGATGTGGGATGTTACAAAACATTTCCTCCTTGTACTAATTGGATTAGAGAGTTTGGGTATAGTATTATTTTGTCTCTACTACAGGCTAAAGTTCGACTCACGTGTGGATGAGACGAGTATCGTATGTTCGATATTTAGTTATGGCTAGCACATTGAAAGTAAAGTACTTTGTTGCCCCACTTTGTATAAATGCTAACTTTTATATAAATATATATTATTGTGGCTTGTAGAAAATGGGTGATATGTTATAAAATCTTTTTTTTTATTTAAGTTACAAAAGTGGAAAATTAGAAGACCCAATATTATTCAGATTATGACTGATACTGATCCCTCAAGAATAGTGATGAGATAAGAAGTCGAATAATCATATTCCAGTCATAAGCCATGATCTCTAACTTCAAGGCTCTTGAAGGCACGGCCGATGCTTGACTACTTAAGGATAAATTGGAATTTTTATTCATAATTCTTCGAATTCAAATTACATAAGTTTGTACTTATGATCAGAATCGTTCATATTATGAATCATTATGTAAAGATCATCTTTACCAAAAATGAATTAAAACTAAGGTTGTTTAGCCAATCTATTACAGCATATACATAGATAGTTCGTAATGCTTTTATTAATTTCATTCATCTGTTTTTATACAGTTTAATGATTAAACAACCTTAGTTTTAAGTGATTTTTTGCAGAGACGATATTTATAGAGTGATTTATAATGTAAACAGTTCTAATCAAATTCTATGAATCGACAATAAACAATTTTGAATATGAACTTTTACTCATCATTTGAGTATCCCAAGTATTATTCTAATGGCACCCCTTATCAAGTCTTCCAAGTCAAAGAAACAAATTGATTTGATCGAATGGTAACATGGTTCAAGCCCTTCAATCACAATACACCATATGTACTGTTGAGAAGAAATTAGTTGAGAAGAAATTATCTTTGTGTTGATACGTTGTATTGTATGTGTGGGTGTGTGAGGTGGGGCCCTGTGGTGACCACCATGGGCCATGTTCTTTTCATTTTTAATGTAGAAAAGATTTCATGTGAGTTTGATTTCACAACCAATTACGATTGTGATTGATAACTCACACTAACAATTAATTAGTTAATAATTTAATAATTTAATAGTGTAACCACACCACACCATCTTCGCTGTCAGATGTGGATGTTTCTTCTCTCATGTCATGCGTGATGCTTGCAGGCTGCACCTAAGTTAAGAAGAATCTGCCACATGCATGTTTTTAATTTATGCATCTTTCTTTTTAAATAAAAATTGAAAACATGCATGTTTTTAATTTATGCATCTTTCTTTTTAAATAAAAATTGAAAAGAAAAGTATAATTCAACGTTCTTGTTGTGAAGAATAAATTTCACACAAACGTAAAATTATTCTGAGATTCATACAATAAAAAATGAAAACACACATAAGGCCTTGTCTCATTGTTGTGGTGTGAGCCAAAGGTTCTTCAATACATAAGTTAGTCGTAACGGTAAGAAAATGATTATTAAGCTATGAGTTTCTTGGCTAACGAATAATTAACTGTCATTGTGTATGAGCATGCCTTTATATAGAGCTAGACATGAAGTTGAAAATGATTTATAAGCGCACGCATGGTGCTCCCTAAGTGGTTAGTTTGAACCCCATGCGGTTCTGCCCTTTTAGCCACAAAGGTTGCTAAGGGAAAAGAGATGAGGGGCCTAGTTAGGAGTTTCTTTTAGGAGTATGTTTGATGCACGAGAATGAATCCATGGGAAATAATTTTCCATGCCTCTTCTTAAGAATGGAAAATATATTTTCTTATTTCCATGTTTAGTAAAGATGAGAAAGTAAATATGAAAAAAGAGACATATTTCGGATTTATCAAATATGAGAAAGGAAATGATTTCTCATATACCAAATACAACTTTAACAACATCGACGATCATGACCTTGTATGGGCCATGAGTGTAAGAATTATTATTTCTTAAAGATTCTACTAGATCTTGTCTTATCAGGCCCTTTTGAACTAATGGAACCCTTCTTGGACCTCAGTTGGCCTACTCAGCCTGCCATCTATGCTTAGAAAGGGTGACCCAACGTATCGTTTTACATGAGGCATAAAGCGCACATTGCCTAGTAGATGTGTCACCTTTGTCAGTGCGATTCACGAAGAGGCATCCCCTCTTCCATTTAACTCTCAACCCACACGCCACTTGGTAATAACAATCTGATGATATTCTTTTTTCATTTGTCAGTGAAAGACCTTATATTCGATTCTTACCAAAAAAACAAATTCGAAACCAACAAGTAACGTCCTCTCTAGGACAAATGAATTTTGGCTACCACACGTAATAATCCTTATATGAATTATAAGGCAAGAAAAAAATGGGATAGTTTGTAATATTCTCCTATTATAAACAATACAAAACAATGCTCAACTATAAATCTTTAGCGTTTCTTTGACATTTGCATTTAGTTTAATTTAAGCTTCTTCAAAAGTCAAAATGAGTTCCTTTATTTATTTATTCAATTTTTTTATTCATTAAAGTTGGGATATAAGTGTCCTTTCATAAATTGTACTAGATACAATGTGTGTGATTTAAAATTATAAAAAAGTCAATTTAATTAAAGTCAATTTATGTATAAAAATTAGTGAATTGGGGAAGTTAGAAAAAGTGAAAAAAAAAAAGTAGACGTGGGTGCAACTGAGAAGAGAGGGAAAGAGTTTAACAGCTTGTGTGTATGTGCTTTTAAAATGACTGAAGGTGTTTTTGATGAAAATGTTTTTGGAACCAATTTTTAGTAAAAATACAAGTAAATTCTAAAAAAACATTTAAAGTGCTTCCTGAAAGAGGCACATAACTGGTGCTTTTTGCAGAAAACACTTCAAGTGCTTTTGAAATCCAAAACTTTTTCTCTAAAATCGCTTTCAATTATTTTAAAAGCACATCCAAACGAATCATAAGGCATTGATAGGGTGATATGATGCATGGTTCTAAAATACGCTAGGCGCTAGTCAGGCGGGTAGGTTGAGACCTAGCGCCTAAGCATCTAGATGGGGCCTAAACAGATTTAAATAAATTTACTTTATATATATATATATATATATATATATATATATTATATATATATAAGTGCTTATGCACATAGAAGAAAAAAAACATAATTATTAATTAAATAATTATAAGTATGAATATATGGATTTATGTATAAAATTTTACGGCTTAAAATGTTGGTTTTGTAATATTTTTAAACCCATATGTTATAAATAATTGGTGGGCCTCATTTTCATATAAATAAAGGAAGGTTGGGTTTAAAAAAAGAGGTTCTATTGTGCTGTGAGAATAAACAGTTGTAAAATAAATTTATTGAGTGTTTAATAAACTTTATTTTATTTTATGTAAAAGTTCTTTTAACCAAAAAAAAAAAATGTCTGGATATTTGATAAAATTTTATATAAATTGATGTGAATATGATAAATGATTAAAAATATGATATTTAATGTGATTTAATAATTTTCAAAGAGAATAATATAAAGACAATGATTGTATTTTTATAAAATATGTGGGGATATACTTGTCATTTGAGAATTTTATTAAATAAACATTGATTACTATGTTTTTGCTTTTCTATGCTTTCTACTGTCATTGACAACAGTTTCTTAAAAAAATACTTTTTTTTTTTTTTGTTTTACCAAATACATTTGATGTTCTAGATTTTTTAGTAAGGTGCTCTTAAAAAACCAGGCCTTAGGCCTTTTAATGAACATTTTATTTTCAATTTTTATTTTTTATTTGAAAACACTGAAAATAGTTACCAAATGAGTGTTAAAAAAAATTGAAAATGAAATAATTATCAAAAAGTCCTTAAGGACACCAAAGAGTAAACAATTTATTACATAAAAATTAATAACGAACTTAACAGGAACCCCTAGCACATGATGGTGTTCAAATAGCATAGTTACTCAAAAAGAGAACAATTTCATTTATTCATCTTGTGCACAACCTGGGTCGCTTCTGTTTCAAGAAAGTCCTGAAGCACTGACTATATGCAAAACTTGTAGCAACTGAAACAAAATGCCACTCAAAGGGACGATCCGGAAACTTCCCATGGCAGTGACCCTGCATGAAAAGAACGGACATTTTCACTCTTTCTGCTGGTAACACATTGAACTGGATTATTCGCTTGTTTAAACAATTATGGAGAAGTACAACACTCGATCGAATGGCATTTTACGTATCTCTCAAAGCGTTAGGCCCTCCATTTTAACATGGTAGGCTCAGTATGTGTAGTTGAGAAATGGACTTTATGTAACGCTGATAGAAGTAGCATATGATTGGAGAAGCGTTAGAGCTTGGTCTGTGATAGCCCTATTCCTAGCACGCTTCACCCATTCACTCACTACTCCCATTGCTTGGGTGCCTTTCACTCCTTCTTCAAGTGCCTCTGCTGCTTCGGCTATCTTTCCTTCAGCTAGGTAGTACTCCACTTTGTTGATAATGGACTCAATTCCGTCCCCTGAGTGGTCCACTTCCTTCACCTATACAAAATCCCGAGGGCATGTACACCAAGCACTCCAATAAGTTGATTTATACTAGACTAGTAGTGAATTTAGTATGGAAACCCAGACCTCATATCTACTTACCTTCAACCAGGATGCAATATGTGCCAAGGAATGTGCCAAAATGCCACCACCACCAAGAGGGATTAAGCTGAGGTGCCGCACTGTCCCTTTCAAGGCATCAAACTGCACCGAGAATTAAGTTTAGCATTACATTCTTACTACGATTTTCAGAATTCACAAATCACAACTTGAAGCACTCAACTATTTTCAGTTCACAGAACTTCATAGTTCATACTAAAAATGGCAAGAATTCATGTATCTGAGGAAACTTCAATTAATAACTCATCCATTTTTCATGTAGACACTCTCTAAGTCAGGATATTGCTCAAAGTGAACCTGTACCTTTATGCATTTAATAAGGAAATAGCCAAGGCAAATTTATAATCTCAAGAAATGGAACTCAAGTGACCGAACAAACATTTAAGGATATTTAAAAAGTTTAGTCAATAGGTCCTCGATAAAGCATATTAAATTTTAATCTTACATATTTTCACAACTAAAAAATATATTAGAAACAAGGAATGACATTGTCTAAATTCCAGGCATATGAAGTGAATGCAATAGATTAAAAAGACCCTCGCCTACAACAAAACTTTATCAATATCAGCCTAGTTAAGTCCAAAAGTCATGTCTTCAAAATGGCGGATGGGGCAATTTCCTCAGAATCCTTGCTTATAAATGAAGAAGTAGACAACATGTCATCAACAGTTTTGAAAAACTTAAGACGTCTTTCACGGGGTAGTAACTTAAAATATGTTATGCATCTGTAGCCTGTTGCTCTAAAATGATGTATGAATTCTGAGGCAAAACTTGAGCATAACTTTAGCAAACAGCTTTATGTCAAAAAACTTAGAAATGCAACGAATTACTAGCACTTCAATGTTGTGCAATCAAACTTTCCAGGAGGAAAATACTTCCTTCCATCAACTATATTAAGAGGTATGGTCTTTCTTTACCATTAGCTAGAGGGGACAAAAGCCAAGTTCAACAGTAAAAGTAAAAGGTTACATAAGGGTGATAATAGTTGACAGTTGATCATAAGGGTAACGATCTCCACTAAAAAATATGTAATGAAAAGTAAGAAAAGAACTACTAACCTTCTGATTCAATTGCAATAAGGTATCTGTGCCATTCCTTCGTGTTTCTTCAGGAAGAGATGATAGGACCACATCCAAAATTGAATCTTTATCAATGCCTTCAAGGTAAGTGTGCAAAGCCTCTATTTCTCTCTCAATTGGCAATCCTTTTGAAAGTGCATCATCTAGTGCAAGTGCTCCCTGCAATACCCACAACACATCATTGATAGGATAAAACTTCAAGGCTAGAAAAATCACTGATGGGGTATGAATAAGATTATGTTCTCTTAAAAAAAAAATACAAAGGAAGTGAATGGGAAAGATAATAATAATATTCACCAAAGCAAATTTGTGAGCAGAGTGAGTCTGACGAGCTTCTTCAGATCTTGCATAGAATGCCACACACAAGGCATTTATCTACAAAAAGAACCTAAACATCAGATTTCGTAGTGGACAAATTCATCAATCACTAATTAGATACATTCATACACACAAACACACTATGTACATCCCAGGAATAATCTATTTAAGCTAAATTCATCAGTTAATATCGCAAAGTTGTATAATACTGAAGCCTGCATGCTTTAACCCTTTGAAAAGATCATATGGGGACCATTAGGTGTGATTTCATTTACTAATTCTTTTATGAATTTTCAGCCCTAAAGAGAGGCTTATAGTATAGAAAAAGGGGTGTGTGGATAGCACACCTCTTTTTACTTCTGACACACCCTTTTAATTTTCGACCGTCGAATTAGATGAATTGAAGATCAAAGGACAAAAATTAACAAGGGGTGTATGAGAAGTAAAAAGAGGTGTGTGGATAGCACACCCCTAGAAAAAAAGGGACCAAAATATTATGTATAAATAGCTAGAGCATTTTACACCAATAAATTTTTGGCCTGCAAAATTGGTGTTGCATTTCATGTAAGAAACGAAAAATGGACCTTCTGTAAAAACGAAATTGTATCCTGGCACCTATTACAGTTCCCCCCAATTGTTTTGTTCCATTCCTAAAATACAACTTCAAGTGACCACTGACATGGGTGAAGTGAGTTCATTTTCTGAGTACTATACAATCAATTGTTGTAGATGACACAGCAACTTTTCTGGATTCAAATTATCTCATCAAGATCAATATCACAATTCTCACTGAAACTTTTTTTAGACGGTTTAAACTTTTAATACAAAATGAACATGAAAGTAAGACCATAAATCCACATTTAGCTGTTTTGAACCATCCTTAGGAGACTTGAGCAGTAATCTTACATGAAGGTTTGCTTCTGCCATTTTCTCAATTTGGGATGCCTTCTCTCTTGCAATTGTTGCTGCCAGTCCCGCTTTTGCTAATTCCTCAACCTTCTTTAACTTCATTTCAGCTTCACTTTCCTGCATTTACTTCAAGTATCAATTTCAATTTACCAGTCATAATACGCTGATGCACCATAAAGACAAAAAGATAAAATAAAACAAAAAATGACAGCACCAAAGCAATTGTGCACCTTGTGCTCAAGTTCTGTCTTATATTTCTCTTCAAGCTTTTCTTGAAGTGACTTGAGTGCAGCAGCTGCTTTTGCCCTCTCTCTCTTTAATTCCTGAAAAAACACCACCAAAAAAAAAAAAGAAAAGAAAAAACTATAAATTTCCCTATAAAGTATAAGTACTTATTTCCTATGGACGGTTGGAATAAAAGTAAGAACAATAGCTGCATTGAAGTAAATAAAAGCTATTTGTAGGTCGGTCCTGAATAATCAGGATTACTGGATCTGGGGGTGGTGAAGAATATATACAACTCTGTGCATATGCTGGTTACCTATCTCCACTCCTCGTGCTTGACAACACTAGTCTTCCAACAGGATATGTATCCTATAGATTTGAGCAAAGAAATGACCATTTTCTAGACCAACAATATGCATCTTTTACTTGCATAGAGATCAGTATAACAAATTACAGACTAGACTCTTCACAAGCAGACAAAAGATGCCACTATGCTAGTGAGATAATGGGATGACTAGTAAAACAGGTCAACTAGCATGGTCATTTAGTATTGCATGGAATTATTGTAGTACACAATTTATACAAGGTGTCCTCCCAGTCAAGGCTCCAAATGAAAAAAGCAACAAGAAGATAGTCTATTGAAAATAAAACAAATCAGATATATGACAAAGCTCTTGAACCTTGTCTAGCATTGCTGCCTCTTCTGCGAGCATCAATTCCCTGGCCGCAGCATCCTTTAGTTTCTTTTCATACTTCTCCTGTGGTGAGCTAGGTAGTCAAGTTTATGAATAGTACAAAGTACCATAAATTCTTGTCAATTTATGAATACTAAAGAGCTCCCCACAACTCTAGTTAGTCTTATAAAGCAAAGTGAACAATAAATTCTTGTAAGTAACAGTAGAAACCTTTAACATTCTCTTTTCTTCTGCAAAAACATGAGCATCTAACTCCGCTTGCCTTCTCTCAGCAGTATGAATGGTTTGTAAGAAGTCGAGAACTAACTTTCCATCTTTAGATATGTACGCATCATTTAGCCCTTCGATTGCATCGAGAGCCTATTGATCCAGAGAACCAGAATTCAGTGATACAATTGGACAATCCCTTTGATATTACAACATCAATATGCATGAAATGGGAAGAAGAAAAAGTGCTTATAACTACCTCTTTTTCATTAGGAAAGTTATTGTATTCAATACCATCCTCCCTATTAGTAATTTTGATGCCTTCATCGACCTCGTCCTTCAGATGATATGCCTTGAGGAGAGAACCTGATGGCTCTTCATCAATACCTAATGCAACCTGTAAAAACAAAGTTTCACCAAAAGCAACTGCATTTAAAACCCATTCAAATAAGCTCTCTTCGATGTTAACGTCTAATTGACAATTGTTTCTACATATAATTCTTGTGATACATCAAGTTTAAGTGGAAAGTGCAGCCTAAATTATCGGCATTCAATATCCACAAGTACTTAAAATTGTTAAAGGGAACCCAAATGAGAACTACCTCTGCCTTGTCTTGTACAATATCCGGTTGAGGTGGCGGTGTTTTCGCCTCCTTCTCTTGCTGATCTGCACTAGTCTGGGAAACTACGGGCGCCTCATTTATCTCCACACTAGTTTTTTCCCCTGCACTCTTCACGTCTACATTCCCTTCAGATGATGACCCAAGATTTATATTTTGGGAATGCTCAGGCAAACCTTTCTCACTTGTGATGTCACTCTCAGCTTTATTATCCTCATCCACTTGAGACTGCGGGTTTTCGCCATCGCTTCCACTCAAACCCTCAACATTGGGAACATCCGAACGCGTTTCGACCTTCTCCTCGGCAATGCCAGCTCTTTCTTCATCATGTTTTTCTTCTTCTACATGTTTGTGATCCTCCAAACCAATGGCAGCATCCTTAACCGAATCACTCTTCTCTTTGGCACCAAAAATTGGGTCTAGATACCCGGTTTTGTAAGCTGCCACAAGCCCAGCACCAACGGCAGCGCTTCCGAGGAAAATTTTGGCGCTGGAACCGCCGTTTCCCGGCGGCGGCGGATTGGCTGCATCGCCAGGGTGGTGGGAAGCAGTTTTGGGGGCTGCGGCGGAGAATTCCCTTGTAATCGGCCTCGGAATCCTTCTTCTAACCCCACGACGAGACGCAATCTGCAGAATTGACCTTCGCAACATGGATTTGTGATGTGAGAGAAGAGAGAGAGAGAGAGAGGGGGGGCGGTGAAGTGAAGGTGTCTCGTGGTGGTAGTGGTGGTGACTGGTGGGTGGGGAGGGGCGGAGTAGCAAACTAATAAATTGGGAAAACGAATCGTTTCGGTTCTGGGCCGGGTACGTAAATAAATAAGAAAGAAGCCCTAAGTACCTCTCTGAGCTCTCTCGTCCTCTCTCTCCCGCCCAACTCCTAATTCTTCCTCTCCATCTCTTAGCTTGGTAACCCTAACTCTCTCTCTCTGTATTCAGTTAGTTTTGTGATTTTGTTGGTGGGTTCTTCTCACTTGAACAGTTTCAGAGATGGGTCTATGTTTTTGGGTTTTTGTTAATTGTTTGCATATGGTTTGGAGTTGCTTGAAATTTAGGAGAAACCCAGAACCACTTTTGTACATTTGCGTTCTACAAAGCTTCAAGTATCATTCTTTTTACTGTTTTATGAGGCTTTAATTTCTATAATTTCTTTAATTTCATGATTATGTAGGTCACTTTGAGCACAAACTTTGAGTAAGAATGGTCGATTTCCTATTCGATGATATATTTAGCATTGAGAAAGTGGACCCAGATGGCAAAAAATTTGACAAAGGTTTGCTTCTAACTAGCTGCTTCTTGCTCTCTCTCTCTCTCGTCATTGCCACTTGCAGATCCAGACAATTTCATTTTTCAATCTTCATTAGATGCATTTATCTGCCTCTGAAATTTATTTCCATCTAATCCTGTTTTAGCATAATTATGGTCCTCATATGCATTACTCTGAGTCTCGTTGTTGTTAAATGTGTGTGTGGACATTGTATTTCTTTTTTGTGTCGTAGTAGAATTGATTCTATTGGATTCAAACTACAATGAACTGACCGCTTAATACTATGGTCTAGTGATATTCCTCTTCATTTGTCAGTGGGTGATCTTAGGTTCGATTCTCGCCAAAGGCGAATTTGAACCACATTATTGCTATCCCATTATGAGGCTAAAACCCACTCCCTCCCCATTAGTGTAGATAATATCGTTTGTTCAAAAAAAAAAAAAAAACTACAATGAACGGACTTTTTTATGTAGACGAACAATAAGAAAGAGAAATGAGGTCTATTTGATTTATACTAGAATGAATTTTGCAATTTGTAAATATATAGAAATTTAATCGGCACTCTGTTTAGTGGTCGATCCTTTCGGGCTATGAGACATTATCCCCCCACCTAATAAATTGTCTAAAAGTGGTTTATTGTTGCCAACCCTCACATTGTTGGGAAAACGCCTTTTCCAAGTATTAGTTTGGCTGGCAATGGCATGATCAATAAGCCCTTCAACTCCTTTGAAATCTGTTCTAATGCTCTTTTGGTACTTTGATTAAATTTGGATTTTTGCTTCCTTAGTTTCCCGGATTGTAGCACAGAGTGAGAAGCATGGTGTGGTGCTGCTCCTTGATGTGAATACGGAGATATATCCTATGCATGCAAAGGACAAATTCTTGATGGTGCTGTCTCCCACACTTGAGTGGAGCGGAGCAACTGCTACTGGAAAACGTGGACAGGTACTCTACTTTGCATTGATTTCTAGTGTCCGATATTCCTTTTGGAGTGGAAATACATATTAACTCTGAGATATTGAATTTTGATGTAAACTCGTGGGTTGGTAGATTGAAAACATAGAGGGGACATGTTGTTCATGTCTGATTAGCTCTCGTACCTCCCATGTATCTTTGGCAGGTTGAGCAGAAATCTCTTGCCGACAAATTTGAATATATAATGCATGGATTGCTGTATAAAATGTCAACAGCATGTTCAGAATCTTCAAAAGGAAAACCGAAGGCTTCAGTTGAAGGTTCAAAGACTGATGTCAAAGTGTACGTGACATAATTCTCAAACATCTTTTTTTTTTTTGTTTTTTTGTTTTTTTGCAACCTTCGAGGTTTCTTATTTGCGTGTTGAGCTCATGACTCAACACGCGCAGAGGCACTCTCTCTCATGCAGGGTGAACGTTACTGGCATGCTTCTGGTTTAGTGGGATTCATTTTTTTGGATATCATTTAGGGATTGCTTGTGATATATGCAAGTAGCGCTCTTGTTTTAAAAATCATATAAAGGTCGAGATCCATTTGATGTCTGATATATTGCTGTCATCTTACGTTTTCTTGAAAACAAATTGTCAAGAGATAAAAGAGATGAAAATGTTCTAATCGTTTAACGGCTTTGCGGTTACCTTACTAAAATGCATGCGTTTGACTGGGTTTTTGTGATTGGGTTCAGGGAGGTATATGCTTCATTTGGTGGGCTTCAGATGATGCTGAAAGGAGATCCTTCGAGTTGTACTAAGTTTACGATTGATCAGAACTTATTTTTGCTTATAAGGAAATTGATATGATTTCATCGCATCATTGAAACTTTCTATGTTACTGTTACTGTATTTCCCTTTTAAATAGGTCGAATTTCAACTTTTGCGTTTCTTTAACGCTGCGACTTTGCATTCTCATATATATATATAGTGTCGTTTAGTATTATGATTTAGTGGTATTTCTCTTCACTTGTAAGTAAGAGGTCTTAGATTTGATTATCGCTAAGACGAATTTGAATCACATTATTGCTAGTCCATTGTGGGGTTTAGCCCACTCTCCCACCCCTTAGTGTAGATATATCGTTTGTCCCAAAAAAAAAAAAACACTTGCCGGTTTGTCATAATTAGGTTGGTTGGTTTTTCGGTTTTAAATCTAGCCCTTGTTGGTTGTATGCCCTAAAAGAAAATTGTCCGACAATAGAATTAAAACCTTTTGGTCGATATATTTTCTGTTAATTAAACCATAATAAATTGGGAAATACTTCAAAATGGGATAATTTCTTAATCTTCGAGGACATTTCAAATATGCACACAACATGCGCACGCTCTGCACAACAATTGGATAGAAATAGGATTTTTCTTAACCTTGAAATGACCTAATTGCCCTTGTATTTAAATGGGTTAATTTGTCAAACCAAATCCACATTTCTTCCTCCTTGTTCGAAAATATGTGGTGCCCAACCCTTAGCTCCAACAACCCTAACCCCAAATAGCGCGACCTTCTTCCACCCCATTTTCGACCGACGCAACATCTTCTACCCCATTTCTGGCCAACGCAACCCTTTTTCACCCCAGTTTCCGACCAACGCAACCTTTTCCATCCACTCTATACATTTAGGAGTTGTTGTACTGTGCATTTGCACATCCTTTCGAAATATTTGAAAAAGATGTTTCCACCCTAGCATTTGCACATCCTTTCCAAAAAATTTCAATGGCAAAATCCAAAAAGAGGTACGCTTTGAAATAAAATTTAATTTTTTGAACCTAGGTTATGTAAAATTGGGAATTTTGGGTTTTGGGTGCGAATTAGTGTTTTGTACAGTTAAGTTGTTTGATGTTAATTTATATCGTGCATGTGGTTTAGAGGTTGGTGGAAATTAATTGATTGAAATATGTTCATCAATTCGTGCATACTGCATGCATAATCCGTGCATGTCTATATATTGGGCACGCTTGAATTTGGTTCATGAATTCATTAAATTTGTGCATAGTATATGTATATTATGTGCATATATTGTGCATATCCTGTGCACGCGTTGATTTTCGTCATACTTGTAGTTGGTGGATGAACTGGTTTAATTTGGGCAGACAATATGCATATGATGTGCATATCCTCTGTGCATGCTTATCTTATTTAATTGATTTGCTTATGTTCTAAATATTGCAGTTCTAAAGTCAAATATGTGTCTCCGACGGAACTCGTGTGTTCGTCGCATGAGGTGTTTCCTGCAACCATCTCTTGTCTGTCATATGCTCGGGGTGTCTGGGAAATATTAGAGGTCGATTTACAAAGGATCTACTGAACAAATTTGAAGCTTCATGATTTGGCCATTTGGTTGATGTGGATCACATTGACTGGTTCGGGCAGCTTACCCACTACGTTATCCTTAAGCTATTAAGGATAAAGTGCGTGATGATTCCTTTTGTAACATCCCACATTGCCCAGAGGAGTGGATCATGTAAGCCTTATATGTATATTCCCATCTTTACCTAGCATAAGGCCTTTTGGGAACTCACTGGCTTCGGGTTCTATCGGAACTCCGAAGTTAAGTGAGTTCACCCGACAGCAATCCTAGGATGGGTGACCCACTAGGAAGTTCTCGTTTGAGTTCCCAAAAACAAAACCGTGAGGGTGTGGTTAGGGCCCAAAGTGGACAATATCATGCTACGGCGAAGTCGAGCCTAGGATGTGGTGGGGGCCCGAGCCGGGATGTGACAAGTTGGTATCAGAGCCAATCCTTGGCCAGATGTGTGCCGATGAGGACGTCGGGCCCCTAAGGGGAGTGGATTGTAACATCCCACATCACCCAAGGGAGTGGATCATGTAAGCCTTATATGTATATTCCCATCTCTACCTAGCACGAGGCCTTTTGGGAACTCACTGGCTTCGGGTTCCATCGGAACTCCGAAGTTAAGCGAGTTCGCCCGAGAGCAATCTCAGGATGGGTGACCCACTAGGAAGTTCTCGTGTGAGTTCCCAGAAACAAAACCGTGAGGGCATGATCGAGGCCCAAAACGAACAATAACGTGTTACGGGGGAGTCGAGCCTGAGATATGGTGGGGGCCCGGGCTAGGATGTGACACCTTATCCTTCATTTGGGAACATGTTGCGACTTTCAGGAGGCCCAAATTATGTATGGTGACGGGACTCAGTTTTGGAGAATCCCTCCCCACCCCCCTCCCAAAGTGAAGGATGATGAATGTTGTCTTAGAGACATCTATTTCAGGGGGAAGAATAAGATAACCCTATAAACAATCGAAGGAGTAATTCAACATGTGCCAACATCCAAAAGATAGGTACAAGCTCGGTCTACTGTACTTTGTCCACTTTGTTGTTTTGGGCAAGGAGAAGGAGTTGGCCATTAACTACCACCTGCTTCAATTGGTAGAATATGTAGAAAAATGGGAGAGATATCCCTAAAGAACCGCATCATTCCAGGTGTTGATGCCAAGCATATCCGCAGCCGCTTTGACCCGCCACAAGGTTGTAAAAGAAAAATCTGTAGAGAAACTGGGGGAACGGTCCGGGACTCTTATAAGTTGAACACACTTTTGCCTTCATTTTCGCTACAATTTATTGACATTATTGCTTTAAATTTTGTAGATTTGGTTGTTTGAAACATTGTAGTACTTGAGGTAAAAAAACTATGCGAATGTGCACACGGAGAACCCTTAGTTATTGCCCCCGACTTGCTGTTGGGACACCTACCTAAATCCGTCCCATCACAAGCTGAATAGCAGTATTTTTGCTAAAAAAAAGGTATGTGTTTATTCGAGTTTTAATAAACTTAGTGAATTTTGTATTTTGAATTGGTTTTACTTATGTATGCAACACCGATTTTGTCCGATGTAGGTTGTTGTCCACCCGATTACTCCGACCAAGGAAGAAAAGATGGCACCTTACTGGAATGTCATATTTGATGATGTTGAGGCTGGTACAGATGCAACACCAGAAGACAAAAGTAAAGGTGTTGCGGATGCTGATTAGGACTCTAAGGCCACGCCTTCATCTGGACCCAAATGGAAGGCGAAGAAGGGATACCACACACACTTGGGAGCGTTGCCATCATCATCCCGGTCAACAGTGAGTACATAAATCCCCGTAAATTGTAGTTTGAATTTATAGGCATGTATTGTTTCTAACTGGATATTGGTTTTGGTGGACTTATGATATGAAATCATTGTTTTTTATACGCATAAGTTTGAGTTTGTTTCTAAGCAACAATTTGAAGAATTTTCAGTGACAATGGAAGTTCGGTTAAAGACAGTTATAGAGGCATTAGAGGAGGAGCGACGTGCCCGCATGAAGTTAGTTACTGAGCTTTAACATTTACAAAGCGACATATGGAAAATTGTTTGACAAGCCCCCGACCCCTGAAAAGTCGATAGGGTCAGGGTGGGACACATATAATGTCCCCAAGGATGAGAAGGTCGACAGTTCCCCGGAACATCCACCTGGTTATAAAGATCTCACTGCAACTTCCCCTCAACCTGAAACCTCTGCCGGCGAAGGGAAGTCGGATCGGGGAAAAGACATAGCCCCCACTACGAATTTGCCTACTTTTGATGTCGACTTGCTGGAGATAATTGAGGCTGAGAACGCAAACGATGTTGCCCAATCACTGTTGCGTATAGGGGTGGGTTGGAAAAACCGAAAACCGAAAAAAACCGACAACCGAACCGAACCGAGACCGAAAAAAACCGAACCGAAAAAAAAACTGAACCGAATCTGATGAACCGAACCGAACCGAAATTGGTTGGTTCGGTTTCGGTTTTTTAGGTATGAAAACCGGACCGGACTGAACCGAACCGAAATATGAAAATAAAAGATAAATATTCAAAACCTGCTGGAATGAAGGTTCGAACCCCTTCCGTCCAGGTTGGGGATAGCTCATTCAAGCCAACTTGACTGTAGGGTTTGTATTGCTATGATTGTACCAGCATAATATTTATAGGTATTCTAATCTTTAATGTTTTATAAAATTTATAAAGCTTACAAACCCTAGTAGCAGCCGTCACCCCCTTTACCTTTTCATTCTCAAACATTCACTCTCTCTCTCCCTCTCTCCCATCCGCAGCTCTTCCTCTCTGCTTCCTCATTCAATCTTTCATTCCTTCTTCTCTTCCTCACTTCAACTCTCCTTCCTCTCTTCCTCTCTTCCTCTCTTCCTCTCTCTCTGCTCCTCGTCTAATATTCCTTGCTTTCTCCATAAACTTTCGATCTCTGCTTTTCAAATACAAGTCAAATAGTTTTTTAATCTGGGATTCATATGGAGGTCGCACGGTCCAGACATCCATCTTTGTTCCTCCGGATTTCTTTAACAGTAAGTATTCAATTTCTTTTTTTTTTTTTTTTTTTTTTCTGTTTCTTGTTTAATTCTTTGAGTGCTGAAAATGGTAGTTTTTTTTGTGTATTGATTAATAGTTTTTATTTCTTTGGTTTGTTGACTATGCTGTGTGAATTTATTTGTTGACTATGCTTTGTGAATTTTTGAAGAAAAATTGGCTGATGTTGTTCGTGAATTTATGTGGTAGAGATCTTTGGTCTTTGGATCTATACTCTTTATTAAACCCTTGGATCTCGTCTGTTTGGCTGTGTTCGGACAGGTGCTCGTGGCCGGATGTTACAATCGGCGAGGCGTCGGTTGGTTGGTGGCGAGGGTTTGTGGATGCTTGGCGGCGGGTGATGCAGTAGAACCCTAGGTTTTCTTTTGTTGTATTTTATGGCTTGGGCCTGTATTGTTTGTTGGATCTATTGGGCAGTTTGGCAGGTGCTCTTTTGGGCTAGTTTACCAATATCCATATCTTAAAATAATAATAATAATAATAATAATAATAATAATGAAAAAAACCGAACCGGACCGAAACCGAACCGAAAAAAACCGAAACCGAAAAAAACCGAACCGAAAAAAAACCGAAAAAAAAATGGACCGAACTGAACCGAACCGAAATTTCGGTTCGGTTTCGGTTTTGGCAAAAAACCGAACCGATTCAAACCGAACCCAGCCCTAGTTGCGTATATTACAGTTTAGAGTGGTGGGTGAGTTGGGAGAAGAGCAAGTTTCAACCTTGGAAAGGAAGATGAGGACACAAAGGTCAGCGAGCATGGTACCCACATTGACAAAGGCGCTGACGTGAACTAGGTCACCAATCCATCTGGTTTGGAGCCCCTTTTTGGTAACATAATGAAAATATGGGGAACAAACATACAATGTGTGTTTATTTAAGTATTCAACAAGTCTCTTACAATTTATTGAAAAAATAAAATGCAAAAGGAAAATTATCTATTTTCTGTCTAAGTGAGTTGTCTAGGCAGGCACCTCAATAGGTCTACGCACATTTTCTTAATTTTCAAATGCCTAGGCATTAATTGGGTTGGTGGCCAACTACTTAGCACCTAGGCGAGGTCTAGGTGGCTCTAGGTGCGGATTTTTAGAACAGTGTTAGTAAGAGAATGTGGCAGAAGCGTAAATGATTGCAATTGGTGCACCATTTCACCTCTCTCGAATCCTACAAAAGATGGAAAGTTGGTGATGGTCATTCAGTCGAGTTCCCGAAGCCCTTACGGATCATCCCAAAGTCGGATGTGGAGGTTTTCGTCGACGTCTTGACGAGTTAGGTGGGTTCGTCGAGTTAAGTTCACTTTCGGTCGTCATTCAAACAATTGAATATGAACTCAATGTCCATATATCCCTAACAACCTATCATTTTTTTTGTGTACCAGCGATAAACTGGACTTATTTGGATTGGCTACCGTGGGTCGAGATTTTTTTACCGCACTTTTTCAGTTCGAAGGTACTTTGAACAACAATGTAAGTAATTGCTCTTCATTTGTAACTAGTTTCTGTTTACCACATTATAAGCTAGTACAATAGTTTAATTTTGGCCTTTAGAATGCATTTGACCTTGGATTCAACACATCAACGTTGGCATTTACCTTTTGAGGAAGTGATCAACGGAGCATCCTAGAGATTTCGGGGTGCGGTGGACAATTGTTGACTTCTATTTATGGGTAAGTGTTATGTTATTATTGTTATCATCTCTTCTGTCTACTTATGTTCGTAATACGGTTTTGCACCCCATTTACAAATAGGCAGACATGTCCTTGGTTTTTGTTTTATGGGAAAATCTGAAATCGTGTTGCAACGCATCGGTGTAGGAAAAAATGAAGCAGGAACATGCACAATTTGAGACCCTTGTTGTAGGAAATGGTAAGGGCAAGTCCAAGGCAAAGGCAAAAGAAGCTCTGGTTTTTAAGCACTTGATGAAGGTTATGTCAGTTGATGCAACTGTGACGCCACATACGTGTGTGATGAGTAGATTTTATATTATATATTTTACCCTAATCTTAGTATATTTTGGTTAATATATTGGAAGAATTTTGATACTTTGAATTGTATTTTCAATATAGGACTTTCGACTTCCTCTGGAGCAAAATAGGACCAAATTGACGAATTTTGGAGTAATTCCAGTTGGAGGACGTTCGTGAGTCACTTAGCTTGATCGTATCAAAATTTGGGATTTTTCCACCAAGCGGTTATTTTCTGGCGATGAAATAAACAAGCAGTGCTGGAAAATGACGTTTTTGGGCTTAAATGACGTTTTTGGGGCCCAAAATGACATCGGATGGGTTCGTGGCCTTCTAGAAAAGTGTTCAAAATATTCCAAACATTAAATCCAGCTATATTGGGCCAGTTTTGGAGCAGCTTATGGGCCAAAACGTGGTTGTTCAGATTTTAGACGAATTTTACTATTTTTATTTAGGGTTTTTATTAATTTTAGTTTGCTAGGGTTTGTGTGGTGGCTTAGCAAATATATTGCTTGGCCGTCTACAGTTTTAGAAAAACGCTTTTTTATGCAATATTGGAGACAGAGAGAAGTGCTAGGGTTTTGAAGATTTTCTACTTGAAGGTGTTTTCAATCCTTTTCTTAATAGATATTTCTATGATTTCAATTATGAATATGCGGAACTAATTTCTTTTGCTAGGGCGAAGCCTTGAGCCTTAGCATGAATATGTGATTTTTATTTAATTTCTTATGATTGATTGCATGCGTACTTTGAATTGTTAATCACCGGGATAAAAACTATCTAATTGTTTTAATGCCTGATCACCATTAGGATTTTTAGAAAAGTAATTTGATGCAATTTTGGTCGGAAGGTTCCTTGAAATTGACGCTGGCTTCTTGTGATTAATAATTGTAATTTCACTTAGGATGAATATCACGTCTTAAGGATTGCATGGTTTTTCAAAGGATTTTCATAAAGCATAATGAGTCTTTTATGTTTAGATTTGATCCGAACGTCCGGACGAGTTGCATGTTAGATATACGTTCTATGTTGGAGGTTCCAAGTAGAATATGAATTAGGAAAATCTAACCTTCAAAGTGGCATGTGTAGATCATAAGTAATTGGTAAAAATTCTTAGGATTGCTAGGTGATGGTGGAACCCTAGTGCTTTCTTAATTTTATTCTCCCAAAACTGTTTTCTTTCTCTCTAGCTCTAATATTGCAGATTGTTTATTTTAATTCATTAATTTCGTTTTTATTTTAATTAGGTTATAAAATCAATCACTTCAATTTCTACTTTACAATAATTAAATGGAATCTGATTAGTTCGAATTATTTAGTAATCCCTGTGGAGATGACCTTGCGAGATCCGTTTATACTACAATAACCTTGTGATTCTTGCAAGTAAAATAGGAGATTTAAGCCCTTTCACATGAGTAGTAAAAATCCCTATCAAGAAAATGGCGCCGTTGCCGGGGATTATTTAAAATAATCCCTACGAATCAGATTTTCAATTAGTTATTGCTGTTTATACATATAACAAAAAAAAATATTTAATTTTCGATTTCGTTTTATTTTTACATATTTCAACAGTTCAGCAGTGCAGATTTCAGAAATCTGTGCATGGTCAGCACCCGTTCAACAGTGCAGAAATTGAGTCCACTTGATCCAGAACTTGAGCAGAATTTAAGGAGGAAACGCAGGGAGCAAAATTTGCAGCAGGTTCGTCCTCTGCAAGAGACATTTCTGCAATCAGTCTTTCCTAGGGACCTGCACAACAAAGAAAAAATGGCGTTTGTAATTCCAGAGGCAGGTCTGCTCCTGGGTGATTCACTGACTGCCCATACCACAAATATACCCAGTTGCATTACATATCCGGCAGTGGAGGAAGGGACTGCATTTGAAATAAAACAGCACATGTTGAATATTCTACCTACGTTTCATGGGTTGTCATCTGATGATCCTAACATGCACATTGCAGAATTTTTAATGGGGTGCAAAAACATTTTGGTGAGGGGATTTTCAGCTGAATCTATTAAGCTGCGGTTATTTCCATACACGCATGGAATGATGTTGACCAAGTATTCATCCTATGTCATGTGAATGGCGACCAATGGATGTTAGCTGATGTCCATCTTCTACTTCGCATGAACACAATTTACAATTCACATTGGTCAAGGTCGGGGTGGTCAAAAATGAAGAAACAACTTGCTCATATGTGTTTTGTAATACCCCAACTTCTAAAGGCAACAAGATTCCAGGATGCGCAAATCGATTTGAACCTAACCTCGAAAGCGATATATAAACTGTTTGAGATTCAGGCAATGGCGAACTGTAGCCAACAGAAGAACGAGTATGTTCTTTTCATACTTATCTCAAACTTAATTGTAAATGTCTTGAATATGTACTGTGTTGTAACCTGGAGTTGCTATTTTTTGGTAAGTCGGATTGCGGACTTTTCTTACTCAATTTTGCTGACTACATATCATCGGGCTTGGACATTGACCACGTACAACCTCAGAACATGCCATTTTTAGGCTGAAGCTTGCCATCAAGTTCATCAGAGGTCATGCATTTGTGTGAATCATTATGTAGACACCATTTATTTCAGTAGTTTTATTGTCATAGCCAAACAATTGGGTTACCATTCCAATCGTAATTTGAGTACTTAGTATGTAATTGTAATTTTAGATGAGTTTGGCATTGCATTGTTTCAGCATTCATTATGTATTCTTAATTTTATTACTTAGCATTCAAGGGCCTTTTGTTGCCATTGGTTGTAATTAGCTTGTTAGTCTAATGTTAGTACACTTTGCAATCACATGGTTTCTGTATTGAGCATGTAATTCTTATTTTATTACTTTGCATTCAAGGGCCTTGTGTTGACATTTCTACTTCTAAGGCTTCCTGGTGCCACAATTTATGTGAATGTCTTGTTCATTTCATGAGCATGACGTGTATATGTGATGTGCATGACGTGTACATGCTATGTGCATCATTTGGACATATAATGTCCAGTAACGATTATTGTATTGTATGTAAAAAACCAACATCAGAAATGATAACAAAATTCCATTAATATACGTAGATAACATTGAGCTAATTAAACATTAAGGTCCTTTTTATTTATGAAAACCCACACACGGAATGTCTACATATAACAAAATATGAAGGACCCATAAAAGACTTCAAATTAACTTCAAATTAAATTATTCCTGGTAAGTAGCCCTAACGGCAAGTGCCTTGTAGTAGTTAATGGTCACCCACTTCCCGTTGATATCCACTTTCATTGCATAGCGACGAAATATCTCAAACCCCTCACTAAGTCCCAAATGAAAGCCTTGTTTGTATTGCTTGGCCAAGGCGTGATTGTATGCTTCAGATGACATGAACTTCTCGATCTATTTTGCCGCTAACATCTCCACGGGTCAACGAGCCCTTTTCAATTTCCCCTTCAAGGATGCGATGTTCTTCGCGTGATCTTCCTCATGCTTAGTAATCCTCCCTACAATTGTTTCAAGCTCATACGGCTCAAACGAGCCTATGTCTTCCGTTTGGGGGAAGGAAGGAGGTGAGCATGAATAGGAATGGGAAGAAGAAGATTTATGGGGGGAGGTGATAGGGGACTAAGGGTGGGAACGGGAAGATGAAAGTTTCATTGCTTGAATGTGGTATGGATTTCTTCATTAGAGGGGTGAGAGAATGGAGTGTTTTGTGTTTCCTTATATGCACCCAAAATCAAAAAATGAGATGTCTCGTATGTTTCCCAAAATTAAAAATTGGGCTCAAATTTTGGCGGTGGTTTGAATTTCCCGCCTGGGAAAAATGTGAAAATTTAGTATTTGTAATTTTTGTGCACATTTTATGCATGTCCCATGCACAATACATATGAGTTTTCCATGCATGTACCATGCACATAAAATGCATGTCCTAGGCACATAAAATGCACATGGTATGCATATGATGTGCACAATACATGCACATGATATGTACATATTGTCCAGGTGAATTTCATATATTTTCTTAAGTTCTTTAGTTTTTATAAAAAATTTCTTAACTTCTTTTAAGGATAATTGAAAGCATACACTAAATGGCAAAAAACAGCAGTGGAAGTAGTCATTAATCCCATTTCATTACAACGAGCAGCAATGCATATTACATCAAAGTGATCAGTATTATCTTGATGTGCCAATGTCCCAATTTAAAAAGAAGGACAGTGGTGCAGCAAGTTGGGAAGGTCTCTGTAAGTTTCAGCTTTGGAGGACTACATAAAAAAAGGACCTTCACAATCTACAAAAAAAGGTGGCCAATGCCACGCCTAGAACAAACGCCTACGAAGGAGGCTGCGCTTGTTGGTCATGTCGACATCACTGTCCTCATACGAACACCGTTTCAGTTTGTGTTTTAGGAGTTTGACCTTGAAGCGGTTCCTCTGAGCTTGAAGCATGTGGCCGTCCTCGATAGACTTCAACAGCTTAATTCTTACCCTGCATGCCTATTTTTCCTTTTCAATGTCGGCGATTCAAGTCTTGAAAAATGCGGCATGTTCCTTAGCCACGAGGTTTGCCGCATTGAAATCGAAGTTGTTTTTGACTTCGTTCTCGTGGTCAGATTCCCTGATCGGTGTCGTATAATTAGCCATTATTGAACTATTTCATGCGCAGAGGTTAATCTTATGATGAAGTTTGCAATGTGTTAATGTGTGTGTGAGCATGTGTGAAGTTAGTAATGTGAAATATTGTGGTTTAATAGGTGAACAAATACATGATTGCCTATTAAAAGGCAAAAAATTGGCGCCAACAAATTGTTTTGGTCGCTAAGCAAATGATGGATACATTGCGCCAAAAAATACCTTGGTGGGATACTTTCCCCAATTTTTTTTAACAAAAAATGTGTGATAAAGAGCAATGTAATGTACGATTTGGAATTCTCCTCAACAATTGGCGGCAAATAGGATGATACTTACCCCATTATTTTAAGGTTTTTTTTTTATTGGAAAAGGCCTTATCCTCATAGTTGTGTAAATCCCAAGCTAAAAAGTGGAAATTGGTTAGCAAAAGTTGGCTTCCATGGTTTGTTTGCAAATGTATTGATTGGCTTCATAACCTGATTGATAAGACAAGGTAGATGAGTTGTACATGAGCTCACCTCTATGTCTTATCCTAACCTATTTGAGGTGTGCATTTGATGTTGTTGATGCACAAAATCAGTGAGGACTTTAGTACAACAGAAAGTGTTAAGTTTGTGACCTTCGCTAGATTGCTCCGGTCACTAGTATGGATAAATATGTAAATGGATAGAGATAGGGAAGCAAACACAAGATGTACGTGGTTCACCCAGATTAGCTACGTCCACGGAGGAGAGGAGTTCTCATTAATTGTGAAGGGTTTACACAAGTACATAGGTTTAAGCTCTCCTTTAGTGAGTACAAGTGAATGATTTAGTACAAATGACATTAGGAAATATTGTGAGAGAATGATCTCTATTTATAGAAGAGAGTTTCTAGTTTCATTCTAACATTGACACGTGTCGTGTTGTGATTAGCTTCTGATGTTGACACGTGTCGCGCTATGATTGGCTTCTGATGTCGACATGTATCGCGCTATGATTGGCCTCCTGGTTAGAAGGAAATTCTTCTGGGTCCTTGATGGCATAACGTTGACCGATGCTCAGTAGTTTCGGGATTGGTCAAGTATGGTACAAATAGTGCTCCCCTAAGTTCCTGAGTGAGGGAAACTCCTCGGTTGGGGACTTGCAAGATCCAAGCCATTGAGTAATCACGAAACTTCTAAACACCGAAGTATGGTATCATTTTCACTTACCTTATGTGTCTCATACGTAGATGTGGCATCTTCTCTGGAAGTACTTTTCCTCCATCCAGGGTTGGTATCTTTAACCGATGAAGATGCACAAGGTAATGTATCAATTTCACTTGAAGCTTACTTGTAGTTTCGGGCTTGGTCAAGTGCGATACAAAATCCTATAGTAGGAGTTCCCTAAGTCGCCGAGCTATGAGATTTGCTGAAAGAGGTAACAGACAAGGTAAGCAATCAGACTTCCGAGCAAGCAAATTGGATCAGAGGTTCGACTTCGGCTTCCGGTTGATTGTTCTCCTTCTCATTGTGTCGTAAATAGCACCAAGGATAAGGATAAGCAAATGGAGGAGAGATGATATGAGATACTTTTGCTTTTGAAGAAGTAACTTTCCACAAGCTTATTCTTGAACTAGGCTGGAGGGTTTTCTGGTTTCCTTCAGAGTAAGGCCGACTCAAGAATTTGAGAGTCAAAACAAGTCCATCAAATCTAGAGTACGTTCGACCTTGATGATATGTGATACTTTTGCTGTTGACAAAGTAGTGGATGTATCGGCACGTGTTCTGTTATGCTTGTCTCCACATGCTTCCTTGTATCATTCTCACTTGCCCTATCTGTTCCTCAGACAGATGTGGTATCTTCTCTGGAAGCATAAGATGTTGAAGATGAGTACTCGAGAGCAATGCCAGGTAAGTAATCAGGGAAAGGGTTCCAGGCAGTCAGTTCCTGACTGGAAGCTTGATTCCAAGTGCTGACTGATTGCTTTCTTTCTCATTGTCTTGCAAGTAAGAACAAGGCCAAAGGAAAAGACAGGGAAAAAACATGATATGGGATACTCTTGCTTTTACTCTTGCTCTGGTGTGGCTTGTTTACAGAGGTATTATCGGGAAGAAAAGAAGTTGAGTATTTTGAGAGACTTCGTTGGGAATGCCCTCTTAGATATGAGGAAGGGTTGAGCATTTTTGCAGGTCTGCCTGTCCGTGAAGGATGGAGGTCGACATATATAGGAGTCTCCCTAACAACAAGTAGTAATGCTATTCCTTTACCCTTTTTGGTCGTAGCAATGTAGTGGGAGCTGCAAGCTTCACGTGTTTTAACTTTGTCAGAGCATTTTGAAAAAGTGGTATATGGTATCTGGAAAGCTGATGTTGCGTGTGAAGATTGCAGACAAGCTTTATCCAAGGAAATCTGGCTCTCGAAGTTCGGAGAGCGATGCCTCTTCGATTTTTGAACAAGCAATCTCGTCTGGGATCTGGCTCTCGAGATTCGGAGAGTGGTGCCTCTTCGATTTTTGAGAAAGTAATCTTGTTGGGAGTCTGGCTCTTGAGATTCGGAGAGTGGTGTCTCTTCGATTTTTGAAAAGGTAATCCTGTTGAAAGTTTGGCTCTCGAGATTCGGAGGGCGGTGCCTCTTCGATTTTTAAGCAAGTAATAATGTGATTCCTTTACCCTTCTTGGTATAGCAATGTAGTGGGAGCTGCAAGCTTCACATGCTTTAACTTTGTCATAGCCCTTTGAAAAAGTGGTCTGTGGTATCTGGAAAGCTGATGTTACGTGTGAAGATTGCAGACAAGCTTTATCCAAAGAAATCTGGCTTTCGAAGTTCGGAGAGTGGTGTCTTTTCG